GGGCTCCTTGAAGGGTTTCAGAGGAGATCCGCCCAAGGGACTGACGGGTGCTGGCTTGGGCTGTTGGTTAGCCCCAACACACCTAGCTAGCTCGTCTGGAGAGGTGGTTCCGCTAGGCGTCAACTTCGCTATGCAATCATACAAACGGAATTTGCAAGTATCTTGGTCCATTCCGCCTCCCACGCATACAGTCCGCAACCTTTCGGCGAGCTGTTGCTGGAGTTGCTCTCGAGTCTCTTTGGGTTGCTGCTGAAGATTTTCCAACATGTTACCATACTATGCTATATGTAAAAGGGTAAGGCTCTTGCAATTACTTACGGTCTCCTGTGATTGGACAGACTGTGCTGCCTCTGGTATATATTCGCAAGAAAATTCAAACTGAACATAATTAGCTCGGACGTGCGTCCTAGGCTACCCAGATAGAATGTCACTAACATCTCTTCCAGGCTGCTTAGCTATATATTTGTCCTCAACACAACTTTGGCACTATTATGCACTGCATTAGTCCGCGCTCTTATGATTTGCTAAAATCGCATATAAAATATACGTACGCCACCAGGTTTCCCGTCGCATATCTTTGAAAAGTTCTCCGACTAAACACAATTGCGTTAGTAACTTGCAAGAAACTAAGCTGGTAAATAAAGCTCCTACTCCCGGTTTCTGCAGATTTCTATTAGAATATTACTCTGTTTTAGCAGTATAAAATCTACTTACATTTTCGACTTGACAATCCACTAGGTTCTGGTCCTATTAAGTATATTAGTATGCTACAAACTCTTGACGTTATAGTATATCTTGGAATATCTCTCACGATATAGTCCGTGCAGAATATGTGTAAGCCCTTAAATTTCTCTAGCATAGCTTTTGCCGTCTGTATTTCTAATGAGCATAGTGCCTTTTTGTAAGTGAAGTAACCGCCAATTGGAGTCACTGACTTGATCTTGAGATGGAGCTTGCGGAAGAGCAATAGCACTTCCAATAAGCACAATAAGAGGGGCGGAGAAGAGCTTCATGATGACGTCTCGTTAGTATCTGTGTTGAGCAAGCGTACTGGAAATAGCGTTCTTCAATGCGCAGGCGGTCAATGATTACGGTCGGTATTGTTTTACAGTCGGTGGCTATGTACATGCTTTTATAGAAATCTTGAAGCAATTGTTAAGGGATAGGAGCACAAAAGGCCACGTGGTTTCTAGCACATTCTGCCTGGCTATAATGACTCATGCTAATTAATGGATTATGCTAGTTGCGGCCCTGTTGTGGAATTCTGACTCAACAGCAGCCAGAACAAGGTCGAATGGGAAAGGGCTTCTTCGGGTCAGGGTAGCCACCCTGCAGCCCCATAATTACATATATTATATTTGTCCGGCATTACAAGTGAAGAGCATAACATTTAGAGATCCAGGCTGCTTCCAAAATCACGCCCCGGATCCAGAGTAACAGATCCCTTCGGTTACTCTGAGCAAAAACCTTCAATCTGTTACATTTTGCCTACGCAAAGTCTATGCAGTGTGTTGGAAGCTACTGGAACTAACGATGCAATGCTGACAGTAAGAAAGAAAGCCCTGATTATACAGACTCATGCTATAGTCTGCAGTGCGTAGTAGTTAATGCAGAATCACGCATTCTGACATGGTGCGCGGTTCCAACCCTTGTGTATTCAGATCAGGGTTGAAAGCCACTCCACTC